GAACAACCGATGGATGCTGCTGCTTTTTTTCCCCCTGTTGCCCAGTCTGGATTGCAATGGCATGATCTTGGCTCACTGCACCCTCCACCTCCTGGGTTCAAGCAATTCTCGTCCTACAGCCACCCAAGTAGCTGGGATTACAGGAGTTGGCCACCATGCCTGGCTAAGGTTTTATATTTTTAGTAGAGACATGGTTTCACCATGTTGGCTAGGTTGGTCTTGAACTCCTGACCTCAAATGATCCACCCACCTTGGCCTCCCAAAGTACTGAGATTACAGGGGTTAGTCACTGTGCCCAGCCACCAGTGGATACTTCTAGCCATAACTGGGTCATGGCATTATACCTCTCTTCCTATGGGAGACCAGGGATCTCTGAATGTGAACTCCTGTGCAGTGAAATTCTTTGAAACCTATTTGTGTTGTCTGGACATTTGGTTCCGTTCCAAACACAGTGTCTAAGCACCCACTCCATGCCAGATTCTGTGCATCCATCTCCAGTCCATGTGCCTGTTTGCTTTTCTCTCCTTTCAAGTTGTAAAGGGACTTAGAAGTCATGTAGCCTAAGGACCTTGCTAGGCAGGTGCAGAAATAAGACCCTGGGGGGTAAAGTGATGAGTCAAGGCCTCAGTGTCAGTGTGGAGTACAGCCTTGCCACATGGCTAGAGCTCTGTCCGGCAGCCTTTGGGGTTTGGAGATAGTCATACTAAACACAGAATCCGGTCCTTGAGTGTTTGCCACATGCTGGTACTCTGCAAAGTGCTTTCCAGCTTTCCATGATTTCCCTTGTGTAATTCTGAGAGCATCCCTTAGAGCAGGTACCATTGTTGCTGTTACCACTGCCCCTTTTTTAGAGAGGACATTAAGGCCCAGAATAACTAGGATGCTTGGCCAAAGTCAGACACATGATATGTAGCAAAGCTGACATTCCCTCTCATTCTGTGGGAACCTGAAGCCTATGCCCTCTTCTGCTTTGCAGAATATACAAGAGCACTTATAAATTTGAGACAGGCAGCTGGTTCTACAATTAAAAAAAAAGAATGAAAGATAAAGTGAAAGAAAGAAAGAATACCAGTCTTTCTTTATACTTTCCTTTCATTCATTTTTAAAAATTGTTAAAATACATCTAACCTAAAATTTATCATTTAACTTTTTTTTTTTTTTTTTTGAGACAGAGTCTCACTCTTTGCCCAGGCTGGAGTGCAGCGGCATGATCTCGGCTCACTGCAACCTCTGCCTCCTGGGTTCAAGCAATAGTCCTGTCTCAGACTCCCGAGTAGCTGGGACTACAGGTGCCCCCACCATGCCCGGCTAATTTTTGTATTTTTAGTAGAGACAGAATTTCACCATATTGGTCAGGCTGGTCTCGAACTCCTGACCTCAAGTGATCCTCCTGCCTCTGCCTCCCAAAGTTCTGGGATTACAGGTGTGAGAGCCACCACGCCCAACCTTTTGTTCTTTTCTTTTCTTTTTTTTTTTTTTTTTGAGATGGAGTCTCACTCTGTTGCCCAGACTGGAGTGCAATGATGCGATCTTGGCTCACTGCATCTTCCGCCTCCTGGGTTCAAGCAATTCTCCTGTCTCAGCCTCCTGAGTAGCTGAGATTACAGGTGCATGCCACCACACCCAGTTAATTTTGTTATTTTTTCATAGAGACAGGATTTCACCATGTTGATCAGGCTGGTCTCAAAATCCTGACCTCAGGCGATCCACCGCCTCGGCCTCCCAAAGTGCTGGGATTACAGGCATGAGCCACTGTGCCTGGCCACCATTTAACCATTTTTAAGTGTGTAGTTCAGTGGCGTTAAGTACAGTCACACTGTTGGGCAACCATCACTACCATCCATCTCCAGAACTTTTTTCATCTTCATATATATATATATATATATATGTTTGAGATGGAGTCTTGCTCTGTTGCCCAGGCTGAAGTGCAGTGGTGCAATCTCGGCTGACTGCAACCCCCACCTCCTGGGTTCAAGCGATTCTCGTGCCTCAGTGTCCTGAGCAGCTGAAATTACAGGCGTGTGCCACCATGCCCAGCTAATGTTTATATTTTTAGTATAGACGAGGTTTCCACGTTGGCCAGCCTGGTCTCAACCTCCTGGCCTCAAGTGATCCGCCTACCTCAGCCTCCCAAAGTGCTGGGATTTACAGGCTTAGGCCACTGCTCCCAGCTTCGATGAATTTTACTACTCTAAATATCTTATGCAAGTGGAAGTATACAGTATTTATCCTTTTGTGACTGGCTTATTTCACTTAGCATAATGTCCTCAAAGTTTATACATGTTGTGGCATGTAGCCTGTGTCAGAAGTCCTTCCTTTTGAGTGTTGAACAATGTTCCATTGTATGTGCATAACCACCTTTGGTTTATCCATTCACCCGCTCATGGACACTTAGGCTGCATCCACCTTGTGTTAGTCTGTTAGGTCTTCCCTAACAAATACCACAGACTTGGAAGCTTAAACAACATAAATGTATTTTTTCACAGTTCTGGAGACTGAAAGTCCCAGATCAAGGTGCCAGCGGGATCGATTTCTCCTGAGCCTCTCTCCTTGTCTTGCAGACAGCTGCCTTCTCGTTGCATCTTCACATGGCTTTCTGTCTGTCTCTCTGATATCACTTCCTCATCTAACCCTAATTGCCTCTTTAAAGGGGTTGTCTCCAAATACAGTATCATTGGGGGTAAGGGCTTCAACATATAAATTTTGTAGAGACACTATTTTATCCAAAACATACCTCTTGGTCATTGTGAGTAATGCAGCCATGAGTATGGGTGTATGAATATCTATTCAAGTCCCTGCTTCCAATTGTTTTGGCTAGATGTGCAGCAATGAAATTGCTGGATTATATGGTAATTCTATTTTTAACATTTTGGGAGCCCATCATTCTGTTTTGCATAGCGGCTGCACTGTTTTACATTCCCATGGCATTATTTGTTAATCTTCAGGGTAGTTTTGCTCTTTTTCAGAGGTCACTGATTTCCAGTGTCCTCCAGTAGGAAACTTGCCTGGAATCTTTCTGTTTGCCTCCCAGCTGCTTGTTTACTAAATACTAAATCCTCCCAGAAACTTGGTGTCCCTGCTCCTTCTGCAGCTCCTGTCAACAACCTCAGTTCTTACTTCCACACTCAGCTGCTGGGAAAACATCCCAGAATGAAGGAGGAAGCCAAAAAAAAAAAGGCTCAGCCCCACACAGGTGCTTCACATGGGCTCCCAGGCAGCAGCCCCTGAGCTCTTAGGAGCTTTGTGCCAGGTCCCATCCCATCTCCGGGCATGGCAGAGGTGTGATCCTGAGCCCACCTAGGCACTTGCTGCTTTCACAATGATGAAGAGACAACAGATTTTAGACATCCCTTGGTGGGCAGCTTGTAAAACACTACTGTAGGTCCATACATCAGCAGAATGGATCAAGGGTTGTGCGTGGGACTCGGTCTTGCATGGAAGGGAGGAGTTAGGGTGTGAGAGATGTTGGAAGATGTTTATGTGAGGAAAGGTGTGAAGTTACATATGGAGCAGGGGTGTGTGTGTGTGGAATAGTGTGTGAAGGCATGGGAGTTGGATGTGGGTGTGTGTGGGGTGGGTGTGCATGGGTTATGTGTGAAGTAGGCTGGGAGGTTTTGGGGGGTGGATGTGAGGGTATGAGGTATGTATTGGGTAAGGGTGTGTGTGTGTGGAAGGTGGGGTGTTTGTAGGTGTGGGGAGTAGGGATGAGAGTATGGGGGTTTGGTATGAGCATCTGTGTGGAGGAGGTGAGGGGTAGGTATAAGAGTGCGTGTAGGATGGAGGTGAGCACTAGGGGTGGAGGGTGTACATACATGTGTGTGTGGAGTAGGGGGTGAGGATGTGTATATGGCAGCGGTGGGGCTGTGGGCTGGGTGTGACACTGTGTGGGGAAAAGGATATGTAGAGGGTAGGGTATGAGTAAGTGTGTGTGTGCCTGTGTGTATTGGAGGGTCCTAGCAGGGAAAGGACCAGTGACTCTGCTCCCAGTGCCCACCCCTGCTGGAGCTAGGAGGGTAGGAGAGCAGCTGAGACCTGTAGAACATTCTTGTGGAGAGGGAGAGAGCCCGGCCAGGGACTCAGGCTGACTCACTTTCACCTGGTCAGGGGAATTAATTTGCTGGCATCTGCATCATGGCAGGATGCATGCGTCAATCTGTATGACTTTGTTCTTATTAAGAATCATGGGAGAAATTTTAAATGAGAAATGAAGAGAGTGGGTGGGAGGTTATGCTGAGGGCTATGAAAGATGAATTGCTTCTTCCTCAGTGGCTGGGTTATGCTAAATGACCAAGGTCATCTCCCTCCACCCTTTTCTCTCACCCTGTTCTCATGTGAGAGAAGTAACTTTGGAAGACACACACAGACACACACACACACACAGACACACAGACACACACACACACACACACACACACACCCCTGCATACAGATGTGGATTAGGGAGCCTCAAAGCCCCTCCCAGATGCCCGGCAGCCTCTGCAGCAGTAACTCTTTGTGCACTGCGGTTTGCTGCTGTCTTTGCTTTGGAGGGATGATGGCTTTTATGAATGGTAGCCAGGGAGGGACTTAATGTCTTCTGCTTCCTGATGTCAGCACAATGAATGAAACACTTGCAAAGCGTAAAACCTCAAGCACCCGGGAAGCAGATATCTTCTCAGATTGGTTCTCCAGATGCAGCGTCTCTTGCTGATGAAATCACCAGTCCCATGTGTCACAGATAATCCATATACGTTAGGATTTAAATGAGGCAGAAACTGAGCCTGCATGTGGAATGATACGTGGATGATTCTGGCACAACCAGTTCTTTCCCTGAAGCAGCTGTTGCCACCACCCTCTTCCTGCCAGGCAGCGGAGGAAGGTGCTTGCGGGAGCTGCGGACACGCTGTTGTGTGTTAGGCATCTACTTAGCTGGCCTCATGTTCTGCTTTTGCTGGCAGAATTCCTTGCTGAAGCTCGAAGCCCTCGAATCTGATCTGTGCTCTGCATTTTTAACAAACCAGGATGAAGCTGCTCAGGTGCATGGAGTCAAGGACCCAGTGCCAGCATCGACCCAGAGTGTGCTTGCCGATGGGACAGATTCTGCAGGTAAGATACAGGGCTCGGGGTTGTCCCAAATTGTACTCTCAAGGTAGTTCAGTCTCTTGCTGGTTCACACTCAGCCTGAGCCCCTGAGGGAAAACAGTGCCTAGGGCAACATGAAAGCCCAAGAGGTGCTTCTAAGTTGCCCAGGAGGAGCTGAGGGGGAGCAGGAAGGACTGGGATTTGCTATAACGTAGAACTGTCTAGATAGGACCAAGAGTCACACACAAATGGGTGTCATTTGTGTAAGGTGAAAGTACCCATCGCAACTTCTAGTCTTCATTTTCCCATTTGGTCTCCTGGGACACATGAGTGCTATGCTTATTTTATATTGCTGGACCTAGGTAACCTGTGCTGTCTTGAAATTCTTCTTTTTGATGTGTTGTGGATGGGGAAGTTTCCATACTGCTACTTCTTTTCCTGTTAACTGCTTGTAAGATGATCCATGCATGCGGGGAAAGTGGGGGTGAGTGCTCCACTGATAGCTCATTCTGATTCTGTATTGTCTTGTTTGGTTTCCATTTTTTTTTTCATTAATTTCCTTGTCAAAAAGTCCCAAATTGAGTCTTGATTTTCTGTTAGTCTCTGGCTTTAATTCCGGGGATGGTAGATTGGCTAGCCAACAGAGGCAAATTAATGTTGCCAGGAATATTTGGAGAGGAAAGAAACACTAATTTATGTAAGTGAGAGCATAGCTTATGTTTTCTAACAGGAAGAGGTCACAAGTTTGCAGACTAGTTTCCAGATGAATGGTAGAAATAGGCTAAGGGAGCTTTCTTCATGAGAGGTCCTTAATCTCTAGGAGTTGAAGGCAAAGATTTACAAAAGGTAATCTGTTTCAGTACCATTAGCAATAGTACATTTTAGATACTCCTGTTGAAAGCAGACCCCATAAATATATACACCTACTATATGCCCAAACAAATTAAAAATAAATAAACAATTTAAAAATTTTTTAAAGAAAAAAAAAAAAAAGAAAGAAAACAGACCCACATAGTCTAAGCAGGCCAATCAATACTGTCTGGTGTTGGAATGTGTACTAATAATGGTAGCATATAATAGCTACTAGTAGTAGCTACTATGATTATTTAAAACATTCTATGATCCTGGCACTGTTCTAAACACTTTTTGTGTATTATATTAAATCCTTAAACTGACCTGTGAAGTACTACTATTCATCGTAAGATACTGAAGCCTAGCAGAGCATTGCTGGTGAGTGGTATGTTGTTTCCCTATGGATGCATGTGGCCAGTTGGCTGTCTTTGTTGCCCAGTGAGCTCTCCTGCTCTGTTGGCCATTGCGTTTGGATGAGTGGCAAATAAAATTGAACAGGAGCCAACATCAGGCCAATTAGCGATTTAAGTCAGATTATTTAGACAACATCCCTTTTCTTCCCTCAACACCATATTCCACTCTCTGCAAACAAACAACATATTTAATACAAAACACATAAAGAAGTCTCAAACCAAGTACAAGGTAACCGTTGAGTTATTTGGTGATTTGGATTAACTATGCAAGTTTCTGACAAAGTGTTCAGTAAAATATTTGTTGCATGTTGGATGTGGATATATTTTTTCTTTTCATCATGACTTTTATGTGTCTTTCCAACAGTTAAGAATAGTTTTGGATTTTCTCATTGGCATGGGCAAGATTTTGCACAAGCTTATTACTACTTGTTATAAAATGAAAATAAATACAGGGTTTATGTAGGGATTGCTCACACAGAGGAATTAGCAATACATTCCATGTTAAATATCAAATGGCAGAGATGTGCAGAAGTCTCTTTAGAGAGGAGGCTTGTGGGTTGCACGCTGGATTTTCCGAAATGTAGATGAATCTGAAATGTCTCAGAGCCCTCCCTAGAGAGTCTAGAAGACTAGACTGTAGAGACATTTAGAAAACTGATGTTTCCAGGGACTGAAAGAGTCTCTTCATTTGGCAGGGATATTGCCAAAGTGACAGCCATTTGTGAGATGCCTTTGTGACTTAAATTATGGGATGGTTTGGTCTCACTGGGTTCTAAGATGCACTCTTACAGGAAGACTATGCATTTTCTAACCCATGAGTCACTCAGGGAAGAAATTTATGCTCAGATCCATGGTTCTTAACTCAGGGATGGATTTCTAGAGTGATCTTTGGACACCTTAAAACTTTAAGTTTTTTCATGTGACTCCTGGTGAGAGGGTGGTTGTGTAAGAGGAACACAGGTGGCCATAAGTCCATAAAAGATTATAGTAACTTAAAAACAGTCTTCTCTTTCTTAACATCTAGCATTCTCTCTGAGCCTTACATGTATATAAATATTCAAATCATAATTGTTGTAAAAATTCAATTAGTAATTTTCAATGTCAGTAACATGGACAAAATCTGTGATTTTGAACATGGATTTGAATATGTGATATGAACAAGTGATTTTCACAAGAATAACTGGATATAATATGCTACCACTTAACCATAAATAGCAAACATTCATAAGTATAAATTCATGTGACCTAGTAGGTTTCAAATTCACTATAGACTTGATGGACTTTAACTTGGGTTTATGGGTTGCCAAGATCAGTTCCACCTAGTAAGAGACTTGACAGGTCCCCCTGTCCTATACATCCAGTTGTAAACTGCATATGCAGCAAGAAGATATTTCATGGTACCCCTGGGGACACTGTATTCTAGATACTGTTCCAGAACCTTCTTCTGGATCATAATTACCAGGAAGTTTTTCCAACATGGAGATTCTCTGGCATCCTCTCCAGACAGTCTAGGATGAAAGTCCTGGAATCTGTGTGTTTCATAAATCCCCCTGAGTAATAGAACCACACTATTCAAGTGGACCATGTCTTGAATTGGGAGAGAATGTCAAGTTCTGTCTGACTCTGCTCTACCTCAATTTTGCCAATGGGAAAGGCTCACAGATCACACGAGACTTATAACTCAGGGTCTGTGGCCAGTTGGCTCCGTCTGCTTACTTATTTCAGGAGGAGAAAGTCCACAGGTTGGGAGTGAGTGGGATGGGGATATAGACAGATTTGAGCAATAGAAGGCCCTTAGGGAAAAATGATGGAGAGGAAATCGGCTGCAAGGGAGCTTGGGGTCATAAAAAGGGTAACCAACTGGCTTGGTTTGCATAGGATTGTCCTATTTTTAGCACTAAATATCCCACGTGCTAAGAAATCTTCACTCACAGGTATTCCAAGACAGTTGGTCACCCTATTTGTAGGTTGCAAACCACAACCTGTGAGACAGAAGCTGTTATAGACGGAATCTTTGTGTTTCCCCAACAACTTATTAAAATATATGTTGAAGTTTGGAGGTGGGACCTTGGGCAGGTGATTAGGCCATGGGATTAGTGCACTTATAAGAGTCCAGAAAGCTAGCTTGCCCTCTTTCCTCCATGTGAGACTCTAAGAAGTCAGCCCTCTGAAAGCTGGAAGAGAACCCTTGTCAGAAGTTGACCAGGCTGGCACCTGATCTTGAACTTCCAGCCTCCAGAACTGTGAGAGATAAGTTTCTGTTGTTAATAAGCCACTCAGTCTATGGTAATTTGTTATAGCAGCCAGGACTGACTAAGGCAGAAACCCACACAGTAGGCTCAAAATACCTCTAACTCTATCAATATCTTCTTACAGCTGAAGCAAATATTTCCAGCATGGAATTAGTAAGCACCCATTCTGATGTGGTTGAATGGAAAATGGAATGAGGTTTGTCTTTTCCACTGCTTGTGATTTTAGAGTGTGGAGAAGGACTGTTCATGTTGCACATGACTCAGCATAGTAACCTTTGTTCTGTCTGACCAAGGATGATTGATGGTTTGGAGTTTTAGCAAAAACTGTCACCAGAGATAACTGCACACCTGTTACTAAAAATAATAATTCCATAGCAGTACTTTATTATATTTTTCTAAAATCTTGATCTTCAAATTGAACTTTCAATTTGGGTAAGACACTAATGTAGTGTGTCTATTTAGAGTCTATAATTATTCTCATGCAGAATTGTGCATAATCTATAGGTCTCTTCCAAAGTTGAAGTTGATGTAGGTCAGAGTCAACCAGAACCTGACCTTTTCGCTCATATTTCCAGACACTGTCTACTTGACCAGAGTTTTCAATTAATTGGAAATGCATATTAAACTTACAGCTGTCTGAGATCCCTACTTTAAAATGAAAAATTAAAATATAAAGATGACACCTAAGAATCCCCACATTTGAAAAACTCCCTTGGTGATTCTGAAGTGCAAGGAGGTTCAGTAATACTTTATAGAACATGGTGCCAATCCAGGGGTGACATGAAATATGTTCCTGCTGCAGGTGCAATTTAGAAATAGATTTCTAGAATAGGAAAGCATTTCAGGTATCCTACTAGGAACATCTGGTTATCCATAAAACTTGATATTTCAGTCTATGTGGTGGCAACCCCAGATAGTCTTTGAAAGTCAGTGAGATCTTCATTCAACCTCAGGAGTACACAGAATTTCCAAATATCTTTTATAAACTTAATTCATTATGGGGTGTGTGTGTGTGTGTGTGTGTGTGTGTGTGTGTGTGTGTGTGTGTATGAGACACACTGAGACTTCTAAAGCCTTCTAGAGCCTTTATATATATTCAGGATGTACCACCTAATGCTTTAACTTAAAAAATGGCTACTATTATGGAAAGTAGCACTTCATTTATTTGTCGTAAGTTGGTTCCCTTAAAATAGAGGTTTTTCAATTGGGGTCTATTTTTTGCCCCCCTTGAGGACATTTGGCAGTATCTAGAGACATAACTGGTTACAATGAGGGGGTGGACTTTCCTGGCCTCTGGTGAGTAGAGGCCAGGAAAATCCTGAAATGCACATCCTGAAATGCAGAGGACCACCCCTCTCCCCCATCAAGGAATTATCTGGTCCAATAGTGCTGAATGGTCAATAGTGCTGAGGTTCAGAAACCTTTGCTTTAAAAGCTCTTAAGTGAATAACATCAACATTAGGTAACAATGACCTCTTTACTTGTATCAGGCATTAGTGGATGGACT